ACATGTGATACTTAGACATACATGAAGGCAAAACATCATACAACATAAAATAAAAAATTAAAACACTAAATAGAAAAACCTAACAACATTTTAAAAATTAGCATTATTGCTATTGTGTGTGTGTTAGTACGTGCACTTTGACGTGTGTGTATGATGTGTGTGTGGTGGGGGTGAAGACAACTTTGGACAGTCAGTTATCTCCTACCTTCATACGGGTTCTGGGATTAAATTCGGGTCACCAGGATTGTGTGGCAAGCACTGCTCCCAGATGAACCACCTTGTTAGCCCATCCTAACTGTATCTTAAAATTGTTCTTTCGATTGTTTACAGCTGTGTTGCATTTTAATTCTTTCAGGACAACAGGCAACACTGTGCACGCCCCCCTTCATGATTTGCAGGAGGATGGAAGGGGTTAGAAATAAAGCCCAACACCAAAACAATGAATGGAAAAGGAGGCAGCGCTTGCCCAAGGCCTTGCTCTCTGAGGGTGCAGGAGATTAAGGAGCGGAGAGGCTCTCGTTCTGGACAGTTTGTGGCACAAGGAAGACTGTGCAAAGATGGCCCTGGCAGTTCATGCTTATAATCACAGCATGCAGGGGCGGAGGAGGGAGGCCTGCCCTGTGTTTGAAACTAGTCTGGGCTATGTGATTAGTTACAGGCCAGCATGAGCTACAATCTCAAAAAAAAAAAAAGTAAAAGAATACAAATTAAAACTATAAAAATGAACTTAAATAAAAGGCATTAATAAAGGCACAGGAGAATGGACAATTTGGGTTTCAATTCTGATTTTGCGTTTTCCTCTGTACTCCCTATGGAACCCTGGTGGGGGCAACCACACCCTCAGAGTTTTCTCCCCACATTAGTGATTCTGGTGTTGTTACAACTGGCTGGAACCCCAGAGATTGTTCAAGTTTCCTCCTTTTACAGACAGAAAGCCAGCAGGAGCAGCGGCTGTGATAACAGCTACAGCTCACACTTTCGGGCATTTATATGAGCCAGACTGTATTCTAAGTACCTTATCAGTGTCCTGTTACCACTGCGGTCCCTACTTAGAGGTAGGATTGCTAATCCCATTTTCCAGGTGGGAAAACTGAGGTGCAGTGAGGCTTGATACACGAGGTAGTAGATGGTAGAGCTGGATTTCCAACTCACATGGCTTGGTTCTACATCCCATGCTCTCCAGCAGTCCTCCAGAGAACTGGGAATTTGCTCTTCACCCTTTTCTGTATAGGAAAGAGGTGCCCTGCCTGAACCGCTGCTACCTGTGGTCCCAGAAACAAAGCCCTCTAGAGACAAAATTCCAGTATTCTGGCAATGGCCGAAAACATTACTGTTTCCCTTCAGTCTCCCTGAGAGCACCAATTCCATTCAGGAAAGCTTTTTCTCAGGCTGCTTTCCAGATGTGGCACAATCTTCCCAAGATGACTGTGCCATGCCCTCCGCTGGATGGGGCTTCTCCCCCTCTCTCTCTAACCATTCTCTTGAAATTCACTTGACCGTCTGTTGCACTTGCATCCGAACACCCAGCATGGTGCTTTTTATTCCTCTGCAACCAGCAGTTATACATTCTTTGTTGTTGTTGTTGTTGTTGGCCATTGAGGATCCGAACTATTTCTCAGAGCAAAAATAAAAGGCAGCGATAACATGGCCCAGCAAAACACCATTGCAAAAGAGAGCGCTCTCGGGACAGTGTTGCCGAGTACTCACTGGGTAAGACTGGTCACGGAATGGCACACTGATGCTCACTGGCTGAATGAAGAGGCTACGGTTTACCACCTTAGCTCACAGAACATGCTAGAAACATACGGAAACACTGATGCTGGCAGACCAATCGCATTGGTATCAAATTCCAGCTGCGTGGAGAAGCATTAAGTAGATGATGTCTCAAGTTGACTGATACAGGGTCCCACTAGAACCCAAGCCTTCCACCCCTCAGGACACTGGCTTGCCATTGGGTAGCGCTGCATCCTAAGGCTGCTGAGGACAACTGAGACGAACTAAGAAAGCATCTTGAGACTGACTGCAGCAAACCTGGACAGGTCCTTAGGAAAGTCCTTCACGATCCCCTTCACCTGCCTTTCGGCCACGTATTTTACACCTGCTGACCCTTCTGCATGAGGTGGTTGACTGGTCCTCTCATCATCTTTCCTTTCCAGTTGCAAACCGCTGTCATCTATCAAGATCTGACCCTGCCCTTTCCCTGAAGCTTTCTCATGTCCTTGCATTTGCTGTGTCCCAGACAGTTAGATCACTCTCCATTGTGTGGTTTTTTTTTTTTTTTTTTGAGACAGGGTTTCTCTGTGTAGCTTTGCGCCTTTCCTGGAACTCACTTGGTAGCCCAGGCTGGCCTCGAACTCACAGAGATCCGCCTGGCTCTGCCTCCCGAGTGCTGGGATTAAAGGCGTGCGCCACCACCGCCCGGCCCATTGTGTGGTTTTAATTGATGGGAGATCTCTCTTTCTCCTGTTCTTCTGCAGCGATGTAGCCAAGGAGCTCCTTGAGGAGAGACTAGGTCACTTATCTCTACATCTTCAGTGTCCAGCACAGGACCTGCATCATTTTATTTACTCAATAAATATCAAAGGAGGAGGAAAAGGGGGGACGGGCACATCCTTTGAAACTATGGAACATTAGAAGTACAAAGCGTACGAACGGGAGACAGAAGCCCATTGTCTGGTGCCTTCGTAGGCCTCGGGAACGAGCTGTTTTGGCAGGCACAAAGCTCAGGCACAAACAGAAGCGAGGAGAATTCTAGCCGAGAGCAGACTATTTCCCACTTACCTGCCCAATAAAGAGAAACAAAATTGCCCTGCGACAGATCGTGCCTTCCACTAACGCCGCTCACCAGCAGTAATTTGGTTAGCTGAATAATCACAAAATCCACAGAACAAAGAGGCGCGGGACTCTGCTGAAGTCCAGCACTAAGATATTTATTTTATCGGGTGGCATGACAGTTGTTAAATGAACTTCAGTGCAGTCAGGCAGTGTTCTGTTTGGTCATCCCCATCTGAGGGTCTTAGAGAAACCGGAAGAGAAAAGAAGCCCCCTCAGGGATTTTTCCTGATGGTACAAGTTTTACAAAAAGCTGAGTGCACAACTTGCAAAATAATAAGCTTCGGTGATAACTGGAGCTTCAGCTACAATTACCACCAAGAGAAAGGGTGCTGCTGCTCAAGCTTCCAGCTTACACTCGTGACTACGGAGCAGTCTGAAATGTCACGTTCAAGTTGAAGTGACTGTAGCCAATTAGGTAATTTCCACCAAATTGGGTCCATTAATACTCGGACATTATCTTGAGGGAGAAATAGGACTTGGTGACAAGGTGCAATGTGGCTTGTGAAATATTAGTTTTGGGCAATCACAAATCAAGATCCAAGTATGCTAAATTATTCAGCATTCTTGACCTCATTATTAACTGACTTTGTAAGGGGTTTTGCCCATATTCATATCATATCAGGGTTGAAGGAACTTGGTCTTACTCCCTTTCCACAGACATTTCTTTCTTCTTGTATCAGAGGATAGATAATAAATATATACATACACATATACACACATATGTATATAAAAATAATATGCACATATAAAATTTATATAAAACATACATGGTAAAAACACATACATATATAAATGCATATATGTATGTATATGTGTGTATGTATGTATGTATGTATGTATGTATTTTTACTACCCAAAGAACAAGGGCAATGTCTATATCATTGTTAGATGATCACAAAATGAGAGCAATTGCTCATATAGCAGCACACAACAGAAGTATGAATAGTAATTATAAATTTGGTCCCTATGTCTTTCTTTGCTAGCACATGACATCAGGTAACACAGCAATCTTCCAACCAGACATCCGCCTTGGTTCACTGTGTACCAAACAGAAAGCTCTAATTTGTAGCATACAGCTTTAGAAATGAATCAAAGTGTTAAGGTCAGCCTGCTTCTGGAACTGTCCTAAAATTATAACAATGATATTGTTTTCCAACATGGGAGAAAGCCACAGAAAGGAAGCCAGGAAGACCATGTACCAAAAATGCTTGTTTATTCCAAAGATGTTGGAACGATGATGAGTCTATGCTGACAGGATTTCTACAAGCAGGAACTGTATTAGATATTTTGAACCTTAACTCTACGTTCCTGTAAGTTCTAAAGAATTTGAACCAACTGCACAGTTACCCTCAGGATATCACTAGCAGATATTTAAATTTAAGTGAAAATACTTCCGGGAATCATAATAACGACATGGGTCTAGAATATGAACTCTGACTAAACCAGTCAAGATCTGAAAAGACAAAATCAAAACCAAAACACTTCATTAAGGGATTTGGAAAGGAGGACATGAGGATGGCTGTTTGTGGACACAGGTCTGTACAGTAGTAACTTCTCTTAGATGGATGCGTTTTGTTACTCTGCTCACAAATCAGAACAAAACAAACCCTTTGAAAGCAGAGGCATAGAATTCCATCCAATCATAGTCAGGACCATATGGAAGCAGAGCAGGTGTAATCACTTCAAAGTGTTCCTCTCTGTAATTAACCCCTGCTCCAGTCATTCCAGAGTGGAACTGTCAGCTCCCAGGCACTCACTCAACTTGAGAATTTTTTGCAAACTATGCACAGACATTAAAATAATGTTTGAATTAGTGTGAATCACAGTGGCCTAGATTCTCATGCGCCTGAGGACCCTTCTGTATCTCTTCCATGTGTGAGATCCATTGGAGGGCTGCACATGGAGAAGACTCAACCAGAGCACAGGGCAGGAAGGAGAATTTGGGTCAATTACCTTTTGAAGTGTGAGCCCTTTTAACAGCTACTCAAGGTAGTATGTTGCTCGTGGACCTGTATATAATAAAAGTGACCCGTGCTATTTCTTTAAATACCACCTTTTGGTTGCAAGTGATCAAAGTATTCAGTTTGTGTAAGAAAAAAAAAGATCAAGAGAAGTTTTATCCATGTTCTTTCTGGAATCTATTAAGAAGGATTAGGTATGCAATTTACCTTTCTCAGAGGTCTGGGCTTGAAAGTGGGTGGCTCCAAGTGTGTCTCTTCCAGCTGAGTCTTTGTCTTTACCTATAAATAGAAGAGACAAGTGGTTTGGATGCCACTTCAGGATTTCTGGTAAACACACACACACACACACACACACACACACACACACACACACACACACCACACACACACACGTAAATAATCATGGCATAGAGTAATGTATGAGGAGATGGGGGATGCAGGGCATGTCTGCTGTGGTCTCACTTTCTAAAGTTAAAAACATGAATTATGCATTTGAATTATCAATCATTAGCACTTAGAGAAATAAGAAAGCATAAGGAAAAATCGGATAGGGTTTCATTGCCTTTAAATAACCCGACAGTACCCAGGGATGGAGTCTTTCATTTTATTATTATTTACTGGGCATCTACTGCTGTATGGCAGACACTGTGGAGGTTTTGGTGAAGACAGCAGTGATTTTAATCTGACATCTGAATTCAGGGAAAGAAATAATGTATCAACAATTCTTAGAGCTTATGGAGAGTGTGCACAACTGTGGCGTAGAAGGACATATTTAAGACCTAAATGCAATTTTAGCGATTTTTTTAAATCATTTGGTGTTGGGCACCTGCCTATAATCCTAGTACTTGGGAGGTGAGGGAGGAGTCAGAGGGTCAAGATGTCCTCTACCAAAGAGTGTGTTTCCGTGGAGGCCAGCTTGGGCTGCATGAGACTCTGTTTCCACCAACCAACCAACCAACCAACCAACCACTATCCATAAAATGTTTCAACATTTTAGAAAGTGCGGAATAATAATTTAAGAAAAAAACCTTTGCCAATTCCATTCTAAAGCAATAATCAGTACAAGTAACTTGCTACCCACCTTTCTGGATCCCCGCCCCAACAAATATATAATTACTTATCAATGATGGGTAAGCAGATATCATTTCCCAATTTTAACTGTTTGTTTTACTCACAGGTATCTTATGAACATCTTCCTATGTCACGTTATAAATATTAAGCTCTGTCTTTGTCTCTAATAGCTAGAGAACATTGCATTTTAGGGATGCCAGGTGAATTCATGGGTAAGAGTAAGGAACGGCATGAAGGCAGTAAGTAAAAGCAGAAAATAATTTGGTATGTAAATTATTGGTTTATAAATATTGTCTTATCTTGTCATGAATAAGGTCACTGACCTTCCTTAGCATGTCAATGAATAAAGTTTCATGAGTTTTAGATAACACACGCGCATTTAGTGTAGAAAACTGAAAAGTACAATTAACCGGGAAAAAAAACCCCAGGAAGTCTCTTAATTAATGATATTCTTTAGTTTTTATTTCATGCTAGGGTTTAAGAAAAATCTCGAGGACTCAAAGCAACATAATGAACATAGGGAAAACCCATAGATCTTTGAGGAAAATAACATAACAATTTAAATATTACTAATAAAATCAATTGATTTTATGGCTATAGAGTAATATTAACTTACTAGAGACATTTTGAAAATTGTATCCATATACAAAGAAAATGAAACCACTGTGAGTCCCACAGTTCAGAAATAACAACGTAAAGCTCCTTTCTAGTGTGTATGCACACACACATGCCCTGAGGAAGGCCTCATGCCTTTTGGATGAGGACCATCATCCATGCATTTGAACTCATGCAGTTGAACGTTTGGCCACTGTTTGCAGTGCTGTTCTGGAGGTTGTGGAACCTTTGGGAAGAACAGCCTCACTGGAGGAAGCAAGTCACTGGGCAGGATCTGAGAGTTCATAGTCTTGTCTTTTGTTTGTTTTGTTTTGTTGCTGTTGTTTTTTCGAGACAGGGTTTCTCTGTGTAGTTTTGGCGCCTGTCCTGGATCTCACTCTGTAGACCAGGCTGGCCTCGAACTCACAGAGATCCACCTGCCTCTGCCTCCCGAGTGCTGGGATTAAAGGTGTGCACCACCACCTCCTGGCTGAGAGTTCATAGTCTTGTCCCACTTCCTGTTTGCTTGCTCTGTTTTGATCGTGTGGTTGGGGTGAGCTCCCAGCTCCCCACTCCTGACACCATCCATGCCTGTCTGTCTCCAGGCAGTTCCGCCATTATAGACCCACGTCCTCGGGAGCTGTAAGTCGAAACAAAACCTCTCTTCCTTAAGCTGTTTTGTCACACTTTTTACCATAGCAACAGAAAAGTGTGAGTGTGAGTGTGTTTGTGTGTGTGTGTAAGTGTTTAAAGGGTTTACTACCAAGTGGTTGTCCCTATAAGAAGGTAATCAATCAGGGCTCCGAAGAACTCTATCAATGAAATAGGACCTTAGTTTTTCTCCCCCAAAGCTTATGCATTACTTGAAAACTTAAGATGGTTTTCAAAGATGAATTAGTTTCACCTTGAATTTCAACAGCTACTCAATGGTGAGAGCCAAGCAGAGAATCCACTAAGCCTTGTGACTGCTCATTGTGAAATTCTGAATTTTAACCAGGTAGACCTGTGAGTCAGTCTTACTATTCTGCATCCTTCAAGAGTGCAAATGCTGGGATGGAGGGATAGTTGAGTGGTTAAGAACACATACTGCTCTCAGATAGGACCTGAGTTCAGGTCCCAGCCCCCGCACCAGGGGGCTCAAAACTGCCTGTAAGTAACTCTGGCTCCAGGGGATTTGCCACTCTGTGTGACCTCTGCAGAGGCCTGCACCTATGTGTGTATACCCATATTTTATTATATATTTTATATTTATATATATTTTTATTATATATTTATATAATAAAATATAAATCTTAAGGAAAAAAAGACAGATTACAAATGCCAGGTCGAGCAGGCGTCTGGAGAGAGGAGGCCATTGCAGTAGAGCAGGGCAGAGCTCCGTGCCTTGTCTGGGGCTCCAGTCTCAGGCTTGCTCCACACTGTAACTCACTTACTGACTTGTGTAATGGCAAACATAGTCTTGACACCCCTTTTCCCAGAACCTAAAAGGATGTATATTCTCTAGTACACACACAGCCCCAGCCCATTTCCCCATAGTCCACCTGCCCACAACAAAATGCCCAGGAGTGTGGAGTAAACAAGACCCTACTTTCTCACCTCCCATCATACAAACACAAGGCAAACGTCGACAAGAGGCTCCGCTCCTCACTCTGGTAGAATGTGGAAGTCAGAGTGCAGAACGAGAGGTTCAAGCTAGGTACGTGGGAGGTTGAGGCAGGAGGATCAAGAGTTCAAGACCAGCTGGGGCTACATGGTAAGACCCTGGGGGGAAAATGAAGGAAAGAAAGAAAAAGGGAAGAGAAGAAAATACATTTCTAGAAACTCACAATGAGGGCAGTTTAGAAAGAGCATAAGCCCTAGAGTCGCTTGAGTCACTCAGCAAATAACGAGCCCCTAGAAGACTATAAAGATAGCCTCAGAGGAAAATGAATGCTGGAGGAGGTGGGAATGAAGTAGGAGAAGGGAACTGGGACCAAGTGGGTGACAAACGTCATTTTAAGAAGGGTGGCCAGGAGGAGGGCTTGTTAAGAGGACACTGGAATCAAGATGCAAGAAAGTGAGAGGACAAGATGTGCAGAAGAGGGTTTCAAGTGAAGGAAATCCAGTGCAAAGGCCCTGGGGTGCGAGCAGGTTTGCAGGGATAGAGAAAAGTGAGGACAGGAGATGTGAGAAAGTGAGATCCAAGGCGTGGGAGGCAGGAAGGGGAGACAGCATGCAGAACCCTAACCGTTAGGAGAACTTTGGCTTTCTGCTTCCTTGGGTTTGGATCTTTGTGTGCCCATTTGCCAAAGGAAATATGTTGAGGGGCTCTCTGAACCCTCGTTTCTTATTGTGCCCAGTTATTTTGTAAAGACTTTATATGTGTATGTGTGTGCGCATCTGTGTGTATGTATGTGCACCTCATGTATGAAGGTGCCTGTGGAGGTCAGTAAAAGGTGCCCTTTCCTCTAGGGCTAGAGTTCCAGGTGGCTGTGAGCTGCTCAAAGTGCTGGGAACTGGTCCTGGGTCCTCTTCAAGAGCAGAATGCGCTCTTAACTGTGGCGTTTCCTTTGAGGCGTTTCCTTTGAAGACTGAAATGAGATCATGCCTGTAACATACTAAGCTCTGAGTGTGGCACGCAGTGTGTAACAGCCACTGGTCTCTCTGGGCAAAGCTTTGCAAAGTTTATGTGCTCCTTGTAAATGTACACATACACACGTAAGGGATGGAGGACCAATAGTTACAGAAGAATATGCATCGAAGTAGATCTTAACTTTGTCAACAGAGAACAAATCCCCAGACGCTGAAAGACAAACTCATGAGCGTGGAAGGGGGACTAGACTTGGGTCGAATGAGGAGTGACTTGGCTGTGTGAGCCATTAGTGAGGACGAGTGTATTAGAAAATGCACAGGAAAACCTCATTATTTCCCATTTCCATGGAGTGTGTAGTTCAAGGTTAGAGAAGAGCGCTATCTGTCCTTCTGGGGGACATCTGAACATTCAAACAATACCAGATGAAATGATCAGCTTGCAAACTTTTGAAAACACTGCTACCTGCAGGGTTGAAAGGGTCCCTGTTAGACAGGAATCTGCTGCGTTAACTTTTTATGCGATGGTAGCAGCTCTTCTCTTATGTGGTGGTATCATTAGATTCCACTTGAGTTCACAAAAATCATTTTCTGTCTAAGTTTCTACTTGAACCCTATAGGAGCAGAGCATCTGTAGGGGAGGCAATTAGTTAGCTAGTTATCATGACTTTACTTACTTGGTACATTTTTTAGCAAATGGAGAAATGTCAAAAACCTAAAATAATTCTATAGAAATATACAACCGACTCCTTTTACCCACAGATCATTAGCACTGTGGACAGGATTTCAAAGGCCCCGTCACCTACAACACCTTCTCCTGTTGCATTATTATGAAGTTGTCCTTAGTTGAAAGGGCCTCCAGGAAGCATTTTAATAGAAATTACAGGGTACTTACTGTCGGAGGGCCGAGACTGCGAAGGAGTGGGAACAGGCCCTTCTCTGTAAGTGAGCAACTGAACTGAAGTTCTTGCCAAGACTACTAGTTGTACCGCCTTTGGATGTTCCCTTGGGAAAAGACCCATTTAGGAGGTTTAACACAATAGTCA